GTGGTGGCATGCATAGCTGGAACCCAACTCAGAGTACCCCTCTGGTGAATTGGGGATCAGGTCATAGAAGAGACAGCCGCCAAAGCTGAGGCACTTCAACAAGCAATTCTGAAGCGATACAACTCAGCTGATGATCTGGAGTATGACCCACTGGATGATGAGCACTGGAGCGGCATGGGGAACCTGCCCTGGAACCCCCGGATTGGGATGGAGGAGATGGAGCGCAACACCATTGGGGTACAGAGCACCTCCCCAGGCACGGATGGAATCACAGTGAGGATGCTCAAAGCATGCTGGCAGCATGTGTCCCTCTTTATACAGCAGCTATACAACTGCTGCCTCCGGCTCTGCCACTTCCCACGAGCCTGGAAACTGGCAGAGGTGGCAATGATACCCAAGGTGGGTAAGAGAGATAGAAGCTCAGTCCGCTCCTGGAGGCCCATTGCCCTGCTTTCAGTAATCTCCAAAGGGCTGGAACGCATCATTGCAAGGCGACTGGCGTACACGGCACTCATTCACGGCATAGTCAGCCCACAGCATGGGGGGGCGCTGCCCAGACGATCTGCAATGGACCTGGTAGCTGCTTTCACTCATGAGGTGGAGGCAGCCTTCGCACAAAACAAGGAAGTGTCCATGGTCACAATGGATGTGCAGGGTGCCTTTGATGCTGTGCTGCGCAGGCGGCTGCTTCAGCGGATGGCGCAGCAGGGGTGGCCACGCGAGCTGCTGCAGCTCATTGACAGTTTCCTCACTGAACACAGAGCTCAGGTCCGGCTGGAGGGGACCACCACAGCAGCACATCAGATGCAATGTGGCACGCCACAGGGGTCTCCTTTGTCACCAATACTGTTCCTTCTGTACCTGGCAGAGCTGCTGTGGCAAAACTCGGAGTTGCGCTTTGGCTATGCGGATGATCTGAACATCTGGTAGGCGACTCACTCACTTGACAACAATGCCACCCTTCTCAGACAGGATATACAGAGTATTCTGAGGTGGGGGGAGATAAACAAGGTGGCCTTCGCACCAGAGAAACTTGAGATGATCCATCTTACAAGAAAGCGACACAATGAGGCACCAGCAGTAGTTGTGTCTGAGGATCTCACTGTTCACCCTGTTACTGCCCCAGCTGGACAGGAGCCAGCACTTCGCTGGCTGGGTGTACACTTCGACAGAAGGCTCACCTGGAGACCACATGTCTCCACCCGGGCAAAGAAGGCAAGGGCCGTGGCCCAGCACATCCGGAGTCTGGGAAAGACCAGAGACGGGCCCCCAGCAGACGCTTTGCGGAAGGCGGTCACCACCTGCGTGGTTCCCTCACTGCTCTATGGCACAGAGGCCTGGTACGGCGGCCGCACGCAGCCAGCAAGGCACACGGGTAGGAGTGGGGAGGTTAGCTCCCGCCTGGGATGGCATGTGGGGACAGTTGAGAAGGTGCTTACTATGGCAGCCAGAGGGGTCCTCCCAGTTTTCCGTACAACGCCCATCGCTGCCCTATACCGGGATGCTGGGCTCCCATCAGCAATGGTAGCTCTGGAGGAGGCCAAAATTCGATTCGCGACAAGGCTTCAGGTGGTGGATGAGAAGCACCCACTGGCTTCACGGATAGCACCTCCAATGATCACACGAGGAAGAGGGGCTGGAACCCGGCAGCGCTCAAAGACCAAGATCCAGCGGTTGGGGGCGCTGCTACCTGAAGTCAATAGACCCACACTTGCCATCCCACACTACTCAGAGGGATGCGGGACAGACCCCACAGAGGGTGTAGACAAAAAGAGTGCTGCTCAGGCATTCAAGGAATGGTGGAGAAGTCAACCCTCAACAGATCTATATGTTTTCTCAGATGGATCAGAACGGAGCCTTGACAACAGCAGGCAGGTGGGCTATGGCTTCATAGTCTATCAGGGAAATAAACAGCTGGGCCAGCTTCTCAGCTGCGCTGAGCCCTATGTCACATGTCTTCGACGCTGAGGCAGTTGGTGCCTGCTGGGCATTAGAGTGCGCCGTGAAGCTCCTACCTTGTGTCACAGAGGACAGCAGCAACCCTCAGATCTGGCTCTGCCTCGACAACACCTCAGTCATCTGGGGCATACGGGGCAGTGCAGCAGCCTCCTCAAACTGGGCCTACAACCGCTGCCATGAGCTCCTCAGACAGCACAATGTCAGCCTGAAATGGGCTCCTGGGCATATGGGGATAGAGGGCAATGAGGAAGCAGACCGCTTGGCTAAGCGGGCAGTCTCATCCACTGCAGCCCCAGCCTATGGTCTCGAGGCCACACCCACAGTCAGTGGGGTCCGCACAGTGGCCAAGCAGCTCAGCCAAGAGGCAAGGCGAAAGTGGTGGAGTGGAGCCTGTGGCAAGCTCTCTGACTGGTACCGGGGCTGGAGTTTCAGCAGGCCGACTGTGGAATACCAAGTGAAGGCCCCTCCGGAGCTCACCATGCCACGGCATGCCCTTCACCGCTGGCTCGCACTCCGCTCCTCTCATGGGGACTTCTCCTGGTACCACAGGCGTTTCCAGCATGCAGATGCGAGGCTCACCTGTGTCTGTGGACACAACAAGAGCCCAGAACATTTGGTGCTCTGTCGACACTCACAGAGGCACTTTCTTCACTTGCCCAAGAGGCCAGCAGCACGGCCACACAACCGGGCGACAGCTGTTGCCTATCTAGGGTCTCTGACCCCTACAGACTTTGTAGAACTGCTGGACTGTACGCAGTTCTACACACGGTACTGCACAAGGTAACGCAGCCGGCTGGCTGCAAACCATCTGACAACCCCCGCAGCAGTTCCACGAGGCCGGCCTGCTGAGTACACCCACGGTAGCTAGTGCAACTGCCAGGGACATCACAGTCTATGCAGACAGTACAGATAGCACAACTAGGCTCATCTGTCTCAATTAGCTGTGGTGTAATCAGTACAGTCTACGTGTCTGACTCAGCTGATATGGTTTTGACTGCCGGCATTGTATCTACGCGTACTCTGCTTTGTTTTCCTCTCGTTTGCCCTTGTCTCTATCGGCTCAAATGCTTCTTCTTCCTTCTTTTCTTTGCTCTCTCTGTCATTCTCTGCTCTTTTCCTTTCACAACCTTCTTCAGTGCTCTCTCCTCTCTTTTCCCCCGGGTCTGTGCCAGATCACGTGACTGCAAGGTGTTGCAGATGACACAGTCTTTCCTTCACCTCTCTCTTTTATTCTTTTCATTTCAGAACACACACTTTCCCTCTCTTTCTTTCATTATTTATCTTGTCTGTCTTTCTTCTGATGTTAGAAGCACAGACAGCTTTCTGATCAACTGAGAGAGGTATCCCTCTCTGCTCACTATAAAGCCTTCCAGGCACGGCAGCGGCGGTCCCCTCAGGGAACCACACTATAGCCCCACCATGAATGGCCATACGTCGGGCCAGAAGTGGATGCGCAGCTCAGAAAAATCCTTTGCAATGAGCTGAGTCTTCTCAAGAGTTGCCACCTGGATTCTGTTTTCTCTCTCTGTGTACATAGAAATCTCTCCAGCGTAGCACGTCTCCATGCCCTTCGGGAGGCTTCTGAAACACGGGCGCTGCCCGTGTTTTCTCCGGGACGTTAAACCTATACATACATACATACATATGAGTATTGTTATACATTCCATTTTGGCACAAATTGGGCACTGTTTAATGTGTTGGTTTTGTTCATATTACTTTCAAATCCGGACACTTAATGTAGCGAAAATATGTTGTTATAATCCTAAAACTATCTTTTTATTTGTGGAGGACTCACCATGAAGGAAATCATACGAATTTTGATATTTGCGGCGATGACAGATGCGACTCGCATAGCCTAGGTCGGTATGGAAACATATACTGCGTCTGGATATGGAAGGGCTGAATGCGTCTTCTAAATCCACCGGCTTATACAGGCCGACGAAAGCTGACAATGCTTCAGTTTAAACGCCGAGTAATTTTGTTCCCAAATATATCACCCACCCTTGATTTTTTGGGGTTTCTGTTCAGAATCTGGGTTTCATCTTCCACATCTTTGTTTGCAGCAGCAAAGCTCCATTGCACATCCTCGGTTTCATGGGTCACAGTTGAAATATCGGAATCATCTAATGTAGCAGCTATGTCAGAGTTCATCTGATGCTGAGATGCAGAATGACATTGAGACTCAGTTTCTGAGAATCTTTCGTTTGCCGCCCTAATAACTCCAGCCCTCTTTTCCTTTGCCCAATCTCGGGCATTCCTGTATGCCGACACTCCTTGCCGAAAAGTTTCCAAATTACCAGTCATACCCCACGTATTGAGCTGAGTCATAATATACTCAGGGCGGTAATCTGGGCCGCTGGGCTTGGTGAGATGAGTAGTGTATAGCTTGAGTTGACCACCATGATAAGTCGATGTAAGAGTATAGGTGTTGTTGTCGTAGGTTGATTCGTCTTCTTCATATGACCGAAGGGAATGCATTCCTCGGGCTCCTAGAGCGCCATCATAACAAGCCTGATGTGTAGCCACAGCCAGGGATCCGTCGGGGCCTTTCACTTCTAAAAAGAAGTTTGGTGCTATTGAGAGGTCATCCTGCGTTGAAGGAACAATCTGGCTGCTCAGTTCATTGCGGATTTGACGATTGAGCTGTTCAGGACGAGAGCCATAGAAGTGATCTGGTCTGGCAGAAGCCAGTGTGCCATCAGTTAAGGGAGCAAGATTTCCAAATGGATAATCCCCTCCGACACATTTAAGGTCACTGATATCGCCGTCAAGAATTGGAACTACTGAAACTGTAACTGGCTTCTCTTTGGATGCATATGCATCCGCTTCTCTGAAATCTTCAAAGCGCTTCTCAGAGAACTTCGAGGGAGAAAGGGAAGCTCGCGATCGCGCCAACATTTCGTTGATCTCCATCCAGTTATTCGGTTTTAATGGCTTCTCGCCGTCTGGATATCTATACTCCGGTGGATAGACTCTATGGTCAATTAAATTCTGCTGGAAGTTCCTACTATATGCTGAGGTGCTTGAGGTTTTTGTGGTCGTCTTTGTGTTTCCGGTGGTGGATGCTGGAGATTCCGCCCGACGCTTCCTACGATGGGAGGATGGCCTTGAACTCATCGGTTGGGGAACAGGATACTAGGATAACATTAGCACCGAGGTGGATATTGGGTTGCAGTTACATACATTTCTCAAACCAGACAGGTCGGGTCCTCCCAATCTCGAAAACCTCTCTATCTCCTTTAAGCGACCAGGCAGACAATCACGGAGAATATCCGGAGCAAAATAAAACGTTTCACAGTGCTTCAGCTCAGTAAACTGTCGAGTGATGGGCCTATGAAGCTTTCGAAATGGTTCTGGAGGGCTGTTTCTTCGGTCTAACTCTTTTATCGCGCTCTTGGTTAACCAAACCTTTGATAGATTATCCCAGTAAGATTGGCTGAGCTTCTGCTTCTTCAACTGACGATGTGGTGTTTCGGAAGGATGCTCAAGGCGTTGGCGCTTGCGGGATAGCCTAAAGTCTTGTGACGAAGGCATATGGCGGTCATAGGGCGTTTAAATTCCTAAATGGAAAGAAGGGGAAGTAAACGTCGTTTATCACCCATAAATGAGCCTCGACAATGCCGAAGCTGTCATTACTAACAATCACCTGCGATACTCCTAGTTTCTCAGCACAGGCACTAAGCCAAAAGAGGAAGAATTTGTGTGTGCTATCTTCGCTCGGGGCCTGTTCGCCCTAAAATGGTGGCGTAGAATCCTTGCACACGCTAAAATATGATGTTGAAGTTCCAGTACCAGGGTTAAATTGCTCCGGCCCGCTCCCTCAATGTATAGAGGTTTTGGCCCTCAAGAATAGGCACCGCAGGCATTAGTACAGCCCCGAATCACCTCTGAACAAGTTAACTAGCGTTCACAAGGGCATCTACGCCTCCGTGCTTGGTGATAAAGTTAAACGTAACTTCAAATCACAATTTGCTCTGCATACCCGTCGCAAAACAATCCACATGTCCCAACTCCATTGGCCGGAGCAAATGCCAGATACCATGTCCGGAGGCTGAGTGACGCGACTTCTCCTCTGCTTGGCCAACGTTTTTCAATGCTATCAAGAGCTCCCCGATACGGATGCGTGAGCAGTCGCATCCAACAACAGAGAGTGTGAGGATGAAGTTCCCTCAAGAAGATTTCCAGGATGTCAATCTCATGTTGGACGTTGGACTGGATAATAAATTGATCAGTGATTTGTTTCCGCGGGCAAGTGAGGGGCTATTCCCCCTCCTCCAAGCACACCCTTCGGACGGTCACCCAGTACTTACAACGCGATGCATCGCAATGCCAGAATGCCTCGGTAATCGAAAGGATATGGAAAACTTTCAATGCAAACCACTAACAGACTTCGTAGACAACGCGTATTTTACCCTCCTTGGGGTATCTCTTTCAGGCGTCTCCTCCATCTTCTGCCCTGATATATGCAACGTTATTGGGAAGAGTAAGCTACGAATATGGGAGAAGGATAATCTGCTTCATGAAACAACCCACTGCGTTATTATGGAAGTGTATCGCGACCAACCTCAACACTGCACTCTTCGTCTGCGGCTAGCCTTCGTTGAGTCCTTCGAGATAATGAACAACTTGTTTGCGCCCGGCACTTGATTGTATCATTCAATCTTCCATTTCCCCCTGACAATGTAAACACCAACATATGCAGGAAGGAGTATCTCTCCGCTTCCTTTCGTGCTCCAAATCCGGCCCCCTTCTTCATTTTGAAAGTCGATATTCTCACATTCGAAGCAGAAGAGTTTTCTTTCGCTCGGTTCTGCCCAGATATATTTGCCCAGATCATACTTGAGGATTCTGGCGACGCGGCTAGCTTTGTCCAGCGACTTT